TCACTCGGCCTGATGTTTGTGTGATTACGTTGGTACCAATCATTTAACCTCTATGCTTGGTGTCTTGTCAGTCCTTACCGGAAATGCGGGAGAGTTTTAACACGGAAAGGGAGAAAGACAATCGAGCCTGATGCACTTTTACCGATCTCTTTAAGGTTCGTGATTCGCTGGTAAACTAATGTAAATCAGCCACACAATGTTTGACTCGATTATCTAATTATTTGTTGTAGAAAGGACCACTAAGCGACTATGAATCAATCCCGCATGATAACGATGAGTATTGCTGAATTATATACTTCTGTTTCCTTTTGACTGAAACGAATTTCCGTGACCATCACGTCGAGTTCTGGGTATTACTTGCATCAGTAAATCACTCTTCATCAAATACAGTTTTTTTATTCCACGAGGCAATTTTTAACTCAATTGTCCGTTTAGATCTATTAAGTTGCCCTTTCCTCTGGGAATATGTCGGAGGTTCGCGTGAACCTTTTGCGGTCTGCTACCGGTCGGTGAACTCGTGGTCAGACTTCCTTTGGAGAAGCATTCAAGTGAGCACCCATTTATCAACCCCGCGTTTGAAGAGGAAGTGTAAGTAAGAGGGTGAGAATATGGAAGGAGGAAATGTGTGCCACACTCAGTTCTGGGGCAAAAGTAGAGTTGAAAGATGAGTTCGACGTCTAGGGACAGAAACCCGATCCCGATAACTGACCGTCTGCCATCGAGATGAACTAGCGAATGATATAATGAAGGGAAGTGCCTGAACTAATCATGGAAATAATAGTAAGGCTAGGGCAGAGAATGAAGTTACTGCCGAACGTTGGGAAAGCAGCTGTAGTTTGGAGGTTAAAAAGAAATCGTTGGGCAGAGGTAGAAAAGTGGAATGGGAAGTCTCCAACACATATGCGACTACAATATTGAAGTGTGTGGGGTATTTGAGTCCTGTTTAAAATGAGGTGTAAGGGCGTAAATAACCTTATGCTACGGAGCAGGAAACGAACTTTGTTCGCAACGCAAAAGGCAAGTGTGGATTTAAATGAAAACCAAGTAAATGAAGCATTGGTGAATAAATTCAGGGGAAAAAGCGGTTTTAGGAAACAGTAGAAAAGAACTGAAATTCCTTTGGGGAGAATAAAGGATATGTCTGAGATGGACTGCTGAAAGTGAAGGTTTTTGAAACAGTAAAGCCGACGTGATTGGTAGAACCGTATATGGGGGGGCAGAAGGTGCAGTGTGGTCATAATCGGGTCCTGATGTATGAAAGACAACAATGGAGGGTGGCGTCATTAGCGGAACAGTGAATCGATTGAGGGGTTTCGGACAGAGCATCATCAGTAAATAAAAGGTGAACGCAAGTATGAAACCCTTTAAGAGCACCAGCAGCTGCAGGGAACAGTTAGGATAGAACCCTATCTACTTGGGTAGGGATGATTATCTAACTGAGAAAACAAGACAGACATGATAAACTTAACAATTTGTTCGCAACCAGTAGCAGTATTCTTTAACGATGAATCGCTTCCAGGCAGCTTGTGAGCAGCCATGTGGGTAGAGACAAGCTGACTACATCCTCTGTTTTCTTCGTATGAATGAGGTATACGCAAGCATATTTGATGAAAACATTCCATTGTTGCTCCCTTTGGCAAGCACCAAGCACATTTAGAAGACTGCATTTCGGCGTTCAAGCGAACTGTCCTATAATCGACCATGTAGGAGTATTTCTTCTATGTTGTTAGTTGTATGTCAAATGACTGAAGAACACTGAACGAGGTGAGCGCACGTGTTTTTGGAAGTTTCGATGTCATTGTTCGCACTTTGTGCCTCGGATCGTTGCTTTCTGGTGAAATGTTTGGATTAATATTAGGGAAGAGGATAATGCAGTCATAAACTCGATGAAACCAAACATTGGTGCATTAAATACGTAGGGTCAGTAAAAATGCCCACAAATACACTGTACTGCATCAGCGACCTGTCAATCCAGTTAAGATTACTCAAATGATGTGGAACTAGGCATAAAAGCGCTGGTGATTAGACGCGTATGACCGGGAACGGACCGAAAAGAATGACTCGAGGTAGGTAAGTAAGAATGTGGTTCAGACCCACCCGATCAAATCCTTTTACTTGTGGACCATCGATTCACAAATTATGCTATTTCCTAGCCTCAAAATGGGCAGTTTATATCCGATCGAGATGCGAACGGCCAAAACCTGCTCCTCTTCTAATCGAGTCACTCTGACGACCAGACTTGTCTTTGCAGTGTGATGCTGCCCGCAACGGAGCGGTTTTATTTGAGCTTATTATCAACCGCAGTTTAATTGGAGCCACTTTTACGGATAGCTCAAAGTTAGGAGAACAAAAAGTCAAAATGACCTATACGACGCACCGTACGGGAGTCCCTGCACATCAAATGCAATAAACATAAACGGAAAAAGCAACCTCATCATCTTACTTTTAATTCCTGATTCCTAACCTTTTATTGAAAGATGTTAACTTCACTCTACGTCAGGTGACATATGTTTGCAACTTCAAACCAAACTCTCAGACAGGAATGCTACTGTAGCCAGCACTTACTAGAAGTAAAGCCAATTGTGCACGTGTGGGATTGTTTAGGTGGCAAAATCGAGATCGACTGTTACCCAACCCTAGCCGACAACTAGGAAAAAAATCAAACCACGCCCTGGTTCCTTCAAAAATTTGCCTTCGTTTGACCACCCGTTTCAAGACCGCTTCTCTGAAGCGCATCAACATGGGTCAGTTAGAAATGTGGCTAACCAACGATAAATCCAGCCCATGAGTCAATGTGGCAAATTCGGTCGACATGCAGTGGCTTAGATTAAAAGTGGCTGTCCAACAAGCTTCTCTGGGAAAATCAGGTGCCACGAAGCGCCGCTACCAAGACTGAATATCCTAGTGTAAGATTTGGCACTCGACCTTTGCCAGAAATACCCGTTTAGTTAACTGTGCCTGCGATACTAGCGCATCAGCGCTCTCCCTGTAAAAAGTGACCACCACAACTACTGGAGAGAAATAACCACTATGATGTAAATCGCACATGTCACTTCGAAAACGCTTTTCGCCCTACGCGTTCAGCGTCCGGTAAGAGACGGTCCACTCCCCCGAGCTATTCTTCTGTTGAACTTATCTCTAATGTCCATAGTGAGGGGACTAGATAGGTAGAGTACCTCAGTCAGCCGCTCAGTTGGTCAATAGATCGACTCGCGGATAGTGATTCGACCTCAACCTCCTTAGAGGAGATAGCCACTGTTGTCGGTCGACTGAATTCTGACAAGGGCTCTGATAAAGACAGCATGTCAGTTCAAATGATACCCTTCAGATTGAACCACTTCGGTTGTGCTTTGATTCCCCAAGAAGGGCAACAGGACAGTATGTGCGAACTACATCATCATCATCATTGTACAGCGAAATACAGAGAAGCGAACTTCACTGATCGCTGCCAAACTCGAAATGCATATGCATTGGAGTTTGATGGACGGGTACTGCTAGGGTGTCCAGCCACTAAGCAGGAGAACGATTAGGGTTCTCAA